TTCAGCGTCTTGGAGGATATAGGCGCCAAGATGTGGCACTTCGGCCACGGCATAAGGGCCTTCCCAATTTGGGGCAAGTTTGCCAAAACGAGTTTCAAACCCCGTTAGACCAGCTTTTCTGAGAACTAGGTCTCCTACTTTGAATGTTCGAGGGCGGACCCGTTTATTGTAGAAGTTGGCTAGTTTCTGCTTGTATACAAGAGTTCGAAGCCAAGCTTCTTCTCTGACGTCAGCAAGCAGATCAAGGTTTTCCCAAAGCAGTTGTCCATTTCGTCCTTCATCGAAATGGGTAACCCGGAGGCTTGGGACTCCTATTTCAACAGGAATGACTGCTTCGGTACCAAAGGCCAAATGGTAGGGTGTTTCACCTATTTTAGTTAATTATGACTTTAGAATGCGCTTTATGCATTATGCATATTTGCTCTTAGGTAAAGCATAACAGAAAAAGTAAAATAATATAGAAATTATTCAAATAAACTCGGTTTAAAGTAGTACCTGTGGTAGTTCGGCTTGTGGTTCTGTATGCCCAGAGGACGTTGTTGAGCTCGTCTGCCCACTTGGCCTTATGCTGTTCCAATTTCAGCTTTATACCTTCTAAAATGCATTTGTTAACAGATTCAACCATGCCATTGGACTCCGGATGGTAAACGGAGGTGAACTGTAACTTAATCCCATAACTGGAACAGAAATCTCGGAATGAGGAGCAATTGAATTGAGTTCCATTATCAGCCACAATTTGATTCGGGATCCCATATCTGTAGATGATCGAGCTGAAAACAAAATCTTCGACCTTCTTAGAGGTAAGACTAGATAAAGGCCGAGCTTCTACCCACTTTGTGAAATAATCCACACCAACAACCAGATGGGTTACACCACCAACCCCTTTCACGAATGGGCCTAAAAGATGCAATCCCCACTGAGCAAATGGCCACAGTGCTACCATGTTCGTGAGTTCCTCTGCTGGTTGGTGAGTCAGATGTGCGAAGAATTGACATTTCGGGCATTTCTGAACAAAGTAAGTGGCATCTTTATGCATGTTTGGCCAGTAATATCCTTGCCTTAAGACTTTGTGAGCCAGAGTCCTAGCACCGACATGGCTCCCACAGACACCTTCATGCACCTCTCGAAGTGCATATTCAGCTTCATAGGGGTTTAAACACTGTAAAAGAGGAAGTGAGAAAGATCTCTTATACAGGACCCCATCAACGAGGGTATATCGAGATGCTTTCTTTCTCAACTTCATTGCCTCATGCATGTCTTCAGGTACTATCCCATCTCGCAAAAAGGAGACGATTGAATCAGTCTAGCTCGGCGTGTCTGGGTTTGTGCTAATCTCCAACACTCGAGGCTTCATGAAGCTTGGTTCATCTAAGATCCCTACAAAAACGGATCTGGAACTTAAAGAGCTGTCAGAGGCAAACTTGGAGAGTGAATCTACCTGTTCATTCTCAGCTTGGGGGATTTTACTCAGACAGAATTTCTGAAATCTGCACTTCAGCTCGGCCACCAGGGCTACATACTTCACCATTACGGGATCAACAACTTCACAAATTGAGTTAATTTGGTTTACCACCGACTGGGAGTCACTGTATACTTGAATTGTACTGATTTTCAACTCCAATGCTAGCTGTAGACCAAGTAGCAGAGCTTCATACTCAGCCATATTATTTGTCGCATCAAAGTTGAACTTCAGGGCATGTTTGCTTCGGTATCCTTCTAGACCAATCAATAGAGCGCCAGCCCCTGAACCCTTGCTACTAGATGCTCTGTCAACATATAAGGTCCAGTCGTTGGGCTCTGGAGTAGAGGTTGAAGGACATGGGGTGCATTCAACAATGAAATCTGCTAGTGCTTGAGCTCGGATTGCGGATCTCTGCTGAAACGTTATCTCAAACTCCCCCAGTTCTACTACCCACTTAATTAATCTTCCAGAACATTATGGTTTCTGCAGAATATGCTGGAGAGGTTAATCTGTGAGAACGATGATTGGGTGTGACTGGAAATATGGCCTCAATTTCCTTGCCGAAGTGACAACTGCTAGTGCTGCTTTCTCCGCTATATGATATCTCAGCTCTGCTCCGTGTAATACACTGCTGATATAATATATTGGTTTCTGTTGTTTGGCTTCTTCTCTCAACAGAACTGAACTAATGGCCTCATCTGAAATCCCCAGGTACAAGTAAAGAATCTCTCCATCGACAGCCTTAGTCAGTAGAGGTGGTGAGCTAAGATAAGACTTCAGCTCGTCGAATGCAGCCTGGCACTCCTGACTCCATTCAAATTTCTTCTATTTTCCTGATTCATCCTTCTGGGCAACCGACCTCATGATCTTGAAGAATGGCAAGCACTTATCTGCTGACTTCGATATGAATCGATGAAGGGCTGCCACTCTTCCAGTCAACCTCTGTATATCTTTTACTGATTTCGGTGGTTCCATCTCAGCAATTGCTCTAATTTTTTCTAGATTAACCTCAATCCCTCTTCGGGACACCATGAAACCCAGAAACTTTCCAGACTCCACGTCAAAAATACATTTGGCTGGGTTCAACCGCATTCTGTTCTTTCTGAGGTTGTTGAAGGTTTCATTGAGATCGGCTAGATGGTCTTCTGCTTTCCGGCTCCTTACTACGATGTCATCAACATACACCTCCAGATTCTTGCCGATTTGAGCTCGGAAGACGATGGTCACCATTTTCTAATAAGTAGCACCAACGTTCTTTAAGCCAAACGGCATCATGACATAGCAATAAATTTCATCGCCAACATAGAATGAGGTTTTCTCTTCATCTTCAGGAGCCATCGGCACCTGGTGATACCCAGAATATGCATCCAAGAGGCTTAACCTCTCATTGCCTGAAGCCGCTTCAACTAATCTGTCAATGCTCGGCATCGGATAGCAATCCTTAGGGCATGCGTGGTTAAGATTTGTGTAATCAATACACATTCGCCATTATCATTTGCCTTCTTCACCAGGACTGGGTTAGCCACCCATTCGCAGTAATCAACTTTCCTGACGAAACCAGCTTGTAGAAGTTTCTTTACCTCCTCTTTAATAGCCTGAAGTCTCTCTCCCCTGAAGAGACGCCACTTTTGGGCCACTGGTTTCTTCAATGGGTTGGTGCCAAGCTTATGTTGAGACACTGATTTTGGAATTCCTGGCATATCTGCCGAAGTCCATGCAAATACATCATTGTTAGCTCGGAGAAAAGCTATCAGCTCTGCTCTCTCTTTCGGGTTCAATCTAGTTCCGATTTGCGTCTTTCGGCTCTGATCTCTGTCATCAATGAGCACTTCTTCAACATCTTCGACCGGAGCAGCCCTGGTTTCATCGTCCGGTCGATTATCGACGATCTCTACACCCATAACTTGCTGATTATCAGGAATTCGCTGGGGAATGGCCTCGGGTGTCTGATCTTTGCCCTTCGTTGGTTGTGTTACTGAGGTGATATAACAATGTCTGGCCACCTCCTGGTTTCCTCGCAGTGTTGCTATTCCCATAGGAGTTGGGAACTTCATATAGAGGTGAGACTGGGAAACCACAGCTCGGATTTCAGTCAGTGTGGGTCGGCCAATAACAATGTTGAAAGAAGACGCCATTTTGACTACGAGGAACCGGACTGAAGGGGTTACATAGGTTCGGCCACTCCCAAAAGCCACATGAAGGGTAAGAACTCCTTCCACCGGAACAGGTTGGTTGTTGAAGCCATAAATAGGACCATCATATTTCTGCAACAACGCTGGATCCAGTCCAAGACTCTCGAAACAATGGAAGTACATGATATCTGGTGCACTTCCGGTATCAACAAGGACACGCTATACTTCACAGTTGTTAATTATAACAGAAGTGACCAAGGGATCATTGTGGGGTGTAACAACTGTATCAAGATCAGCAGATGTGAAAGTAATGGGTTGAGTTTTCCACTCAGCATCGTCAATCTTCCGCTTCTGAGCTCGATTCTGATGCTTAACCTCTCTGACATACAGCTTTCGCTGTTTAGAGCTCAGCCCCCCTGCTTCAAGGCCTCCCGTAATCATGTGTATGATTCTAGCTGGTGGTGGGAGCGGAGGTGGGGCTTGTTGATATTCCACACCTTGTCTATTTGGGGGATTGCGGGCTCCTTGAGGCTACGGCCTCTGCTCTCTGACAAACCTCGGTTGTTTAGCTCTCTGAACATACTCATTCAGCATTCCTTTCTGAGTTAAACTTTCGAGTTCGGACCTTAAACTGTTACACTGCTCTGTAGTATGGCCTTGATCTTGGTGAAAATCACAATATCTTGTATGGTCTCGACTAGCAGCAGCAGTTCGCATTGGGCCAAGACGTCTCAAGTCCATTTTGTTCTTAATCTGCATAAAAATCTGTGACCTCGTTGGGGTGTTGAGTTCGGCTTTCTGACTCTCGTTGGGGAGGTCAACATCGGACCTCGGTTCTGCGCCATCCTCATCCTTTTCCTGCTTGAGTTGTCATCTCTCCAATCTGGGTTCTGGTTCTTAGAGGAAGGTGGGTTCTGTGCCAGGGCGTATTCCTCAGCAATTATAAATTTGAGAGACCTATCATTCACCTCGCTAAAGGTGGTGGCAGCATGTTTGATTAAACTGTCTTTGAACCTATCATGCTTGACACCAGAAATCACGGCTACAATTCCCACAGCTTGATCAAAGGAACTAACCTCTAAAACTGCATCATTGAACCTGCTCATATAGTTCTTCAGAGATTCTCCATCTCTCTGTTTAACTCGCATCAGCTCAGAAGTAGTTTTCCTAATCAACCTTCTACTGGAAAACTTAGTAGCAAAGGCAGATGCCATTTCTGTATAAGAGCTAATTGACCTCGGAGGTAAACTGTAATACCAAGTTCGGGCATTACCTCGGAGAGTAGAGGGGAAGATCTTGCACATCAACGCGTTAGAGGCATTCTGAGCTTGCATGCAAGAGTAAAAAGCATGCAAATGATCATCGGGATCCTTCGTCCTGTCATAAGTCTCCAGTTGTGGTATTTTGAAACCAGCAGGATAGGGTTCCAGTGTAATGTTGGTATTCAGAGGGTGAGGTATAGAATCAGCAGCATGGTGTGGTGGTGGAGCACCTCGGTGTTCAGCCACTAGCTTTTCCAAGCTATCGAGGCGGCGAGTAACATCATCAGGGATGGGTTGTTGAGCAGGTGCTATGTGGGATTGACCCTGAGATTCGCTAATAGCGGGAGTAGGTTGAACCGGTTGAGGATTCTATTGTGGAGCTGGGGGTTGTTGAGTAGGGTTCAGTAAATTAATGAGGGGGTCACCAGGATTGCTTCTGGCTAAAAGCTAAGCCAGTACTAACTGAAAAACACCGAACTGTTGCTACATGGCAGCAAGTTGAGCTGTCACTACGTCTTGGTTGGTAGTGGAAGTTGAATTGTGAGCTGAGGCATGAGGTTGGTTTTCATCTCCTCCTTCTACATGATCAACAGGAGGGAACACAATTGGGACCTGAGGTGGAAGTGGAGTTGGGATTTGAGGGGGGATCAGAGGTGGAAGGTTGTTAGAGGGTTGACCTTGCCCAAGAGGCAGAGATGAGTTACCAACTCGGATTGATCGAGTGTGAACCATGATGGAAGAGCAACTAGAAAGCTTTCAGTTCGATTCCCATAGACGGCGCCAATGTAATTGCACCAAACTTCTTCAGTCCGCACTTGTACTCCGGGAAGACCTGCAAAGCCCCGAGGTGGAACTCGGGGTAGACACTCCGATGCTTAAGTCAGCAATAATCGGGGCTACCTTTAGAGCGGAGATAAAAAGAGCTTATGGTTGGTTTCAATTACCTTTCTGAGGTGGCCCTTGGGGGTATTTATAGGCCTTTGTGAGGTATCCACGTGGCTTGCTTAGCAAGACAATCGGAGCCTGACGTGTCTATCTAGACGATTATTTCGGGACCGGGAATTTGAGAGGTATTCAGATGCACGGATGTCCACCATACTTGTTGTGCCACTTGTCATAAGGAATCAGGTGCGGGCATGCTTATTGTCATTGTCATGCAGCTATTTGAGCAGGGAGCTTTGGATTCATTTCTCACTTCAATCATAAAGGAATTACTGTAGCAGTCCGAGGCTTGGCACCTCGGACCTGTCCTTACAAGAACCGATGAAAGGCTTGAAATTTCCCTTTCCTTCTTGCTCAAAAACCAAGTTTCAGGCCTAGAACACTCTTCTAAACCCAGAAATTTTCCAGATCTGCGCTGTCTTCTTCCCCTCTATCCATTGGCCTCTGCTGTGTGGGGTTGAGTTCGATTTTTTGGTAAGGGGATAGCCATGGATTCCTCTTTTAGCTTTGATTTAGCTTGGGTTACTCTAATTTCAGTTTTTGGTTCTTGAATTTTGGTAGTTCCGTGAAATCCCCTCCAAATCCCATCAGCTTCCATGTTCGCCGGACCCGACTTTTACTTGCCGAAAAATTCTGGTAAGTTGCTGGCTCTTCCAAGTCCAATTTATTCATGTAGTTGCTGCCTTGTGTTGTTTGGATTCTCTGCTTTTGAATTGCCCTGTACTGTTTGGAAATTTTGCTGAAATAAAGGAATGAATTTCGGTAGTTTAAGCTATGTTTTTAAGCTTGGTTTAAGTGTAAATTAGCTTGAATTGGGTTGTTGTTATTTTGGAGAAAAATCCCGTGAGATTTACTATGGTTTTGTCAATTTTTGAAAGTTGCAGTTACTGTTTACCTCGTAATTACTGTTCACGGGCACTGTTCACGCACTGATGGCCAACAATTAACGGGAATCTAAATGTTTAGTTTGTAATATAAGAACAAATTTGGAGATGTCCGGTTATGTGGAGACTGATAGAAATAGCATACTAATTACGGGTAGTCCCAATGACGATTTCATTTTGAATTTGTGGTAGTGCGGTATTAACTTTGGAATATTGTGATTAGGGTTTGATCGTTCTGTCACCGTAGCACTTGGGTTAAGCCTTCTGTTCTGTGCGAGTAAGGTAAGTAAATTTATGGTAAAGCCCTTTGATTTTAAAGCATATTTTAAACTGTTTTTGAGATGGTAGCAAGGTTTAAATTGATTTTATCAGCATCTGAGTGATTAAACTGAAATGAAAAGTGTGATGATTTTTATGAAAATTATTATTTTCTAGAATTGAGCAGGATTGGAATGAAAATGAGAATTTCATTGCTTTTCTGGAGTTGAGCATGCCCACATGAAATTTTTCGGTTTATTCTTGAAATTGAGATTAATGGTGAATTATGGATTTTCTGTAAATTCTGCATGGTTTTGTCTCTGATATAGTCATGATTACTGACGCCCGCTAATGGGAGTTTGCAAATGCTAGCACATGTCGACATGTATTTCTGTAGAACCGGTTCATCCTGCCAATGGGGTTAAACATTGGTTATTACGGACGCCTGCCAGTGGGAGTTATTAAACATTGGTACTTCTGTAACCCTGCCAATGGGGTTAAAGATTGGTTATTACTGACGCCTGCCAGTGGGAGTTTGTTAAACACTAGTATTATTACTGACGCTTGCCAATGGGAGTTTGTTAAACACTGGCCATGACTTATAGATGAGACTACTGATGAGTTTTATTATGCATGAATGATTTATCATTGAAAGTTCTATTATGCTTACATGGTTTATCTAGCATGCTTAAAATTTTACCCAAGGGCTATCCATATTTTTACTTATTGAGATATTTATCTCATAGTTTTTCCTTGTCCACCATTTTAGGAAGTGAAACCGAGGACAGGGAAACCAAGGGGAGTGACGAGGTAGAAGGCTAGCCATTCTAATTAGATATAAGTTTTAGATTTTATCATCGTTTTGTAAGTTAGATTTTATTCTTGAGATTGTGATTGGAATAAGTTCCGAGCCTTGTGCATTTGTGAGACCCGTCTCACGAGTGCACGACGTCTGCCACGTTCTCGGATTTGGGTTCTAAGGCGTGACAAACGTGGCACAACAAAACACAATACTAGAGGTATTCGTGAAATGAATGCATCAATTTTTGACTTTTTTTACGTAATTCAATTTAATCAGATTAAAGAAATGTCAAACCATTTGGTAGACTTAGTTCAATAAAAAACTTTTGGCTGGATTAAAGGCAATTCTACCTTTGCTATGTTTTGCTTTAGGGACTGGTCCTAATTTCCAACTCTCTGTGCAGAGGAATCTTAATTTCCATGTTTGCTTCCTTTTTGTAAAGTACGAGTGAGTAATCCTTGTACTCTTTTTGATGCATATCTTGATTCATGGAAAAAAAACCAATCCAATCTAGTTCATAATTTGTTTGTTTCTTATTAATCAATTTTTTACTATATTTCTATCAATTCAATATATTAATAATTAGTTTGTTATTAATATTTCTCTTGTGATTCTTATTCTCTTAATATTATTCTCTTTTAATCATTCCTTACATATTTATTTATTATTACAATTCATTTTTACTCCAATTTTTCTCTCCGTCCCTTGTTGTGTGTATATTAAAATTGTTTCATTTTTTGTCTTAATGAATATATTAAAATCGTTGAGGGTTTTTACTTTACTATTTTTATAGTTTTTTAATAGATACTGATTAATACATATTTTGATCCAATATGCTACACAACACATTCATTAACAAATCATTATTTTGTAGTTTGAAATTAAAAGTAGACAAAGATATACCCATACATACAAGATATAGAAATCAACCAACTCAACTATATTTATATTTTATTTTAATAGTTAAATTAGAAAGAGTGCTAAAAAGTGTGTTAAACTAAGTATGTATCAATCATTTTCTTTTTAAGTTCCTTGTAGGTGCTCTCACTTCTAGGTTATGCTTATGTGGTTTGTTTATAACCCATTTTGTATTTTTCATATTGGTCTTTCAAATTGATGTAAGCATTATGAAATTGACACACATCGGTTATACAACTACAATTTATAGTTATTTATAATTCTTGATATTTTAATTATCATTGTTAAGAAATATATTTATATAGAATTATTTATATCTTTATCATTATTCCCTTAATCCTAGAATAATAGAGTAAATAAGAAACAATTTGCAAAGTGTCACCTTGAATATAATATAATATGTATCTGTGTTCAATGCATCATATAATTGAAGTAGAAGTCACATTAATTATATATTTGAGTAAGTTGTTTTAACTTTAATAATATATAAATGTAAATGTTGAACTTTAAGTTATTTTGATGATAACAAAACTCTTTGTAATATTTAATAAAATCTAAGTTTAAGTGTGCAATTAAATAACTCAAATTCGGTTCAATAGAAAACTTTGGAAAATTGCAGAAAATGAATGAAGATTCAAATATAGGGGGTCTATATTCGAATCTTGAAGAGGTAGATTTAATTCTTTGCTCAAACTTTTGACTCTCAAGGCAAAATGTAGCAAAAGGTCAAAACAACAGAGGAGTTAACTCTTAATATGCATATTTGACTCTTGAACCTTGAATATTCGACTTGCAATGTTCAAATATTTTACTCAAGAAGCAGAAATTTCCAGGACTTGTGAAGACACATGGTAAAGTGGACTCTCATTTCGAAGATTTGATTCTTTGTGTTATATATTTGAATCCAAGTATGTAGATTCGACTCTTTAGTCCAGAACTTTTTGAAGAATCAAGTCTCAAGTTGGAGAGTCGAATCTAGACTTTAAAAAGTCAACTCTTGGATTATAAATTTAACTCTTGACTGTACAATAATAGCTAGTTTTTCAAATCTAACAAGTCTACTGAGCATTTAATGTAATCCAATAGTCCCAAATGACCTTTTCTTAGTTAGGATGTCCTCGAATTAGCTTTTATGCACCTCCAAACTAATCTCTTTTTAGGTAATTTTAAGGACACACCCCCATATTGACTTGGTACATTTAAAGAAATTAATTTTTTTAAGTGCTATCCCCCAGATTTGAACTCTAAACTTGACTTAATATAATTCATGTAAACTAAATCAATTAACAATATAAAAAAATTCAATTAAAAAAATAACAGATTTAAAAATTTTAAAAGCAAAATAAAAAATATATATATATTAAAACAACTAAATTTTGATTTAATTAAATTACTCCTTCGAGATAAACCTAATGATAATGTTTTATCTCCTAGAGTCTGGTAGAAATTAAAAAGATGCGGTCCTAAGTAACCAAAGCTAATTAATGACATTGTTTGGTAGAGAAAGACTAACCATATGCCAAATCAAACTCTAAAAATAGAAGTCTTTTCCAACTTCTCCTTTTTTTTCACGTTCTCTTTGATTTTTTAACATCTATTTTGTTATTATCCTTTAACCATTCCTAAACTTTATTTATTAGTTAATCTGCATGCTTCCTTCCTACACCTCATGACTAACTCTGTTCATCTTTCCCTTCTTGTTTCTCTTCCAATTCTTGCATTAGATGATAATCGACCTTGGCTTTGTTACTGAAAGAGATATTATTGAATTTCTTAGTTGTTGTAAAGACCCAAATGGTCGATACGGTGGTAGACATGGACAGGCAAGTAAATGGTGTATATGGTTAATTTTTCTTTTTACCTCTCAGTCAACAATTGTTTTCAATAGTTGTATTCAATTGTTTGTCAATTATTCAAACCTCAGGTATTAAACTTACTCCTCTTCTGGAGGCCAAAAGAAAAAAGAACAAAAAAAATCTTGCTCCTCTTACAATCGTTCATGTATATCCTAAATTTCTTCACCTAAATAGGCTGCTAATTTTTGTTTGTTCTCATTGCTATGATTTCTGTCTCAATTTTTCCTTTCAATATGCAGTTTTAATTAATTGTTTCCTTGAATTCGATGAATTCCGCCATAGGATTGAACTTATTTATTTATATATTATATATCTTTGAATTAGTTTTTACTTAAGATGCAATCCCATATTGATTTAGGACATTTTAAAAAAATTAATTTTATGCCAAACTTGAATCTGAATCTGACTACACTTATGTAAAAGCCTTGTTTACCATAAAATTCAATTCTTAAAGGTGATTCTGAACTTTGTAGTAGTCACTTTTAATTTTTTTTTACTAACCCCATGATATCTGAAACTGAAAGTTATACTGAGTCTCAACAAATTTAGGGTCAAATCGTATAAAACCCTATAAAAGAGAAAATTTCTTAACACATGTTTCTTCATTTACAAGATTCAAATTCAAAATTTTATTTAAAGGAAACGAAATCTTACCAATAGATTGTTGGTAATGTCTTTTCCCTTTGATTCATCAAAATTTATGTTTATCATTTTTCCATAAAAGTATTGTACTTCATAATATTATATTCTCATTGTACTTATCTCATTCAATGACGTATCTTTTCAGTATATTAGCTTGAAGTTGAAGAACTTAATAAGTGAAATTTCAAAATCTCCGTCACTTTAGGACGAGTATTACTCCGTCAGGAATGAGTAATTGGCGGCCTGGAACTAGCTAGGAGCTTTGTTTCCTCCAGATCTAAAGAGAGTGGAATATGGCAGTTGCAAAATTAGCTTTGATGGGGATTAGATCCATGTGTTTAGAAGTTTCATCCTGACAATCTACATTAAGAGCTTTCTTGGATCGGAAGGCTACCACGCAAAGGATCCCAGCCAATAATTAAAATTATAAATTTTTAGATAATTTGATGTATTCAATTAAATTTCAATATAATTTAAATACAAAAAAATCTTTTAATTTTGTAAATTTCACTTACATTAGCATGTAAATAGCATTTTGTAATTCATTCAATGATATATTTTTGAATTAATCATTATCAATTGGTATTTTAATTTTATACATGGATGAGTACCTTTTTTCAAAAAACAAAATATGATTAAAAATAATTTATTTAGAATTTATTTATTTATGAAATAAAACTTTTCATAAGCATTAGGTTTTGTTATTCGACTTTTGTAACCAATTTAAATGGTAACTTTCTGTTTCTCCTTTTTCTAAACTATATGTCTGTATATTTTTTGTCCGAGATTTTTCATTTTAAATTGTAACTATCTGTTTTTTTTTAAAAAAAAACTATATGTCTACATATTTTTTGTCTACTGACAAGATTTTTCATCACATATGTAGAAATTACAAAAATATCTTTTTTGGTTCAAATTCGATTAAAATAATTGGTGACTAAATCTTTTGTATTTATAATGTTTTTTTTATCACTCAATTGTAACTTTTATGAAGAAAATTTTTGTAAAATTTTTATTAGTTACAGGTGCCAAATCCATTTCTAAGCGCATTAATAATAAAGGTTTTATTAACAGTCAAAATTTTGTCATTAATTTTAACTTGTGACAGAAAATAAGAGTCTAGTAATCAATAAATTAATTGCTAAAAGTGAGTTTTTTTTATTGATATTTGAATGTATTGAACATGACCTTATTGGAAGTTATATGATTTTTAATATTTATATGGAAAATTGAAATGCATGAAGTTAGATATTTTAAAACTTAAGTGTAACTATTTTAAATGTTTAGGGACTAAATTGTAATAAAAACTTAAAATTAGGGACCAAATTGAATAATCTAAAGTTGAGGACCAAGTGCATGGAAACTAAAAATCAAGAGACTAACAATGTAAATTTACCGTTAAGATTTAGAGAATTTTAACGACACAGACTAGATGACGTTATAAGCTTCGTCAACATAAGGATGACGGTTGACTCTTCCTCCAAAGTCGAGGAAGTTATATTAATTCTTTTAAATTAGAGGGATGATAATGACTTTTTTTGCAAAATTAGAGAATTTATAGTAACATTTAAGCGTTAAAGTATCTCATGAACAAGATTTATCATATATCTTCACTAGACTAATACTCACAACCTTAAACTATAATTGATGATTCCCATCACCATATAAGTGCTAAATGACCTAAGACACCAATACCACACCTTGTAAACTAGGAAGCATATTACTATAAGCCATTTAATTTTCCTGCATGTTAAACTAGATTGCAATAAACATTTTGAAATGAGCAAATTTTGTTTAGTTGTTGCAA